ATAAAACAGAACAGGAAATCCTAGCAGGGAATGAAAGGAAAAGAGATTCCTTCTTTTTTTTCTAATCTTCTCTTCAGTGAACCTTCCTTTACTCTTTGGCCTCTTGTTTATGCTGCAAAACTGCAGTGTCACTCATAAAACTGGAGAATATGCTCCAAGTATGTAAGCAAGTCGAGGTGTCGAGTGCGCTGTTCCTGAAATTAATCTTAACCAATTAGTCTCTTAGCAAAGATTGTGTTACCCCTGTTTCGTAGGCGAGTACAACACCTCTGTTTTTTACCCCAGGCTGTTTTTATATTGTGTCTGTCACGCTGGAAGCAACGTGTATAATCATTACATACAGTGGTTTGCCCTTCGCTCGGTAACCGAAGTCCAGGGTCTGTAATGTGACAGGACTTTGTCACACCTCTGTCAGTGGCGTCCACTGAAACGTGACAAGAACTTTATCAACGGGCCTTCCAATCAGATCCCTAGGAGATCATGCACAAACACGCTGAACACAACGTCCACAGGAAGCCAGATTCCTTATTACGGCCAATAAGATAGCAAGACAAGCTTTATTGTACTTCTGAAGCTACACATTAATCCACTCTGTTGCAGCCTGCAGAGCCCATCATGTGATAAACTAACTCATTACCAGTAGTACAATCATAATTACAGAGGAATCTTTGAGGATGAGGCTAAACTGAAAAGCAACCATAGTCCAAGCAGCAGCTAGGGCAATCAAAAAACAAGGTGACAAACATTAACGGTCAGGATCACATGATATTTTTAAGAATGTGTGGCTTTGTGCAAGAGAGGAAGAAAGTGCATGATCGTCTGTATCTGCATAGCCATGTCTGCTCGTGTGTGTATGTGCGCCATGTCCATGGAGACGTCTATGTGCGTGTGTGACCGCTGCATGATTCACGGTGTCACAACTGCGCACAGAAACGACTGGACATCCTGAACGGAAACCACAGCCGTCGAAGCTGCGTTTTCCTGCAACACACAACCTAACACTCTCACAAAGAGTCACTTGACTGGACCCTCATATAGGAAGTGAAAGAGGAAGCCCCTCGTCCATCCTGTCCTCCATCCCAATCTCAGCTCTACTCTTCACGTGAAGCTACTCTTGCAGACAATATGAGACTTTAACCGTTGCAAAACATTGGGTGAAAGAACTGGCTGAGGCTGGAAACGTCTTGCTATCGGGGGTCAACTGTCTCGTCAGTTGACATTTAGCCACAGGAGATTAGCGCCAATCATTAATGTGAACGCAGAATCCACTGATTGATCAATGGGGTTTGTTTGAATCAAATGAATATTTGCTCAGCTGATTCCTATTTGACTATTTTCTATCTAATCTCTGATGTTTTCGTCGGACAGTCAGTCAGGTGCTCTGCAACAAGATACTCAGTGTTTAGACAGTGGAACTGGGCCAAACCAACACTGTCCGAGAAGATGGCTATGATATCACAGATGGAGGTGGTGAGTGGTGTTTGACCATAGGGTCCGCTGGCCCGGCGTTTCCCTCATGGCTCGAGGCCTCTGGCTGTGTTCATTGGTGACAGTGAACGCAGCCTGGCAGCCTGCATTCCTCTGCCTCTCCCCACACAATGGTGAGTATCTGCAGCATTCCTCTGTCTGTGTCCGCTGTCTGAGACGCAGCCAGGCCTTGGCGAACCCCAGCACTCGGCCAAGAGGTTGGCACCACCTTTAACAGATTGTGATGGACACGTTTGAGTGTTTTCACTGAAAGGCCAGTCGACTATAGGCGTTATTTATTGTGTAAGAGCGTGTCATGGTTACATCGAGAGTGGACATCTTAGTCACGATGTAATAAAAAAAGGCCTCTGCAGAAGTGATTTGGAAATAATTTAAGAGATGATGATTCTTCCTCTTTACCCTGCTTCATCATCTCGTTTTTTCCGTGCAATCGCTCCTTCTCTCCATCTGTTTTTAAAAAATGCAAGCACGTCTGTTCTAAATCGTTTTCACTGCTCTTTATCCTTCTCCAGCTCTTTTGCTTTCTCTCTTGTTCCGATGCCACAGCCGTGCAGACACCTTTCCCTCCTGCTGACTCAGTAGCCAGCCTCAGGCGCTGTGGGCTGGGGGTGTTGGTGGCGGGGAGGAGGAGGGAGGGAAGGGGGGAGGGAGGCAGAGAGGGAGTGGGGGTAGTGTGAGGCTCCCACATCAGGCCCACCAGCCTATCACATGCGAGGAAAAAGAGCTGGCTAATCGTTTCTACAATGGCACCCTGCACACTGTCACACAGCACCACAAACTGCTCTCCTCGCCAACACTTCTACTGTATTATTCCGCCGTAGCTTAGAAATCCTCATGTGATGTATGTAAGTGCGCAAACGTACCGCACCGAACAAAGAAATGCCCTGTTTGAAAAACCACACCTACGAAAACACATCTGATGCAATGTAAAATATATGCAAGTATACATATATACATGTACACCTTGTACCCAGTTTGTTCCAATTGTGCATTTACTAATACACATTTACACATCAGGTTCGAGCTGGTTTATATGGAAAAAAGCTAATATCTTTGTGTTTAAATCAAATACCTGGATATCAGTATTGGGTTGACTATTTGGCCTTTTAGAATAATTACACCATAAGATTTTTGATAAATAATGATCAGTAATGTGGATGTAATGGCTAAGTGGTCAGAGACAAACAATGTGCCGGCTACATCGCTCCAAAAAATTCCATCACTTTACTAAAATATCTTTGAAACCAAGAAAGGACAACATTAACGTCACCTTAAAACATGCCAATTATAAACCAGTATTTACTCTCATATCCCTATGTCCACATACTATATAGCTTCTATTTATTTAAATCTACTTGAGGAAGCCTTCTTCAATCTCGAATGCTGTAGACGTTTAGGAAGGTTTTAATAATTTGCCTGATTGTGTCATTTACAAATTACATAAAGACATGCTCAATTGTATTTATTGAAAACAACAACAAAAATCAACAAAACATGTGAACTAATTGAACAACAAAATTCTTCAATAATAACAACTGGGAAGAGTTTTCTGCATAGCAGTCATCTGAGTGGGTTTACTGTTAATGAGCATATTTTACGAGTACACTTTTAAACTAGAAGAAAATTGAACTGTGCCTGTAAACAAAGTCTTGTGCCATATATAAGAGCCACTGATTAATGAGCCTGTCCCAATAACATTAAAATATAGAGGAGCATTATTCATTGCCATAACCATCTGGTTTATTTTCTGCTACATCCTTGATGTTCACAAACGCACTCATTTACGTCACGCACTCCCGGTGCAGCGCGCCGACCTTCAGGGATTCGGCCTGTTCTCAGGGAGGAAAGTGTTTTTGCACCTGTGGTTTGATTTTAGAGCTGCTTTGGGGTCAAACCTGTCAGGGGGTCACACATGAAAAGAGAACCTGGTTTCCAGGCTAAAGGGTAGGGCCGTTAACAGAGCCACCTGCCAAACTCTCACCAAGGGTGGGAACTGAGAGAAAGTCTCCTCTGACAGCAAGAAAGTGGGAGATTTTTCCACACAGAGGCTGTAAACTCCATTTACAATGTGACCACTTATCACACATTATTATCACAATGGCCTTGGAGCTATTACGGTTGTCCAAATATTATTGTAGTCCTGAACTGAAAACGATCTGTTGTCAGGGAAATGTGCAAGAGGATTTAAAAATGTAGCAGTACAGGGAAAAAAAAGCCTATGAAGTAAAAAAAAAAAAAAATCGGCAAGACGAGCAGCAGTTTGTGCCGACGTGGTCGTTGTTGCTCTCTTCCTCCGTTAATGAATGCAGAGGTGTTTGTCTGAGGAAGAGAGCGGAGGGGAAGCCTGATTTCCACTCCATTTTATCTGTGCCCCACAGCCCCTGCCAGGCTGCTCTCACATGCAGGGGGTCCCACAGGAAGCAGCTCTCCATGAAGGGCAAAGGTCGAGAAGGAGAAGAGAAAGCCACTCTGCCTTTTTATTCTCAGCCAAACCAATAAATACACAACACTGGCACTCCTTCCTCTGGCCGTCCTATTATAATAATATTAATACTTGTGACACGCTAATGAAGTAAATCCACTCGGCCTTTCATTCTCCACCAAACTAACACATACACAACACTGAGGGAGTCCCAGTTCCTCTGGCCGTCTATTTGTAATAATATTAATACTTATGACACGACGATGAAGTAACATGACCTCTTCAAACTCACACTGTGAATGTGTGTACAGAGAGAAAAGGATTTGAGTATAAAGTTGCGCTAATGTTTTCGTGCACCTTGTCTTAGCAGTCACTGCACTTAAATTAGTGAGTTCACTTTTATTTATATAAATTATATATTGTGTTAAAGAGTTCTAAAAGATAACGTTATATAGTGTGCACTTCTTTTAGGGCTTTTAGCATTTATTACTCAGTATATAAGTATTAAAATGTCGGTATAGCACTCATATGGATAACACACTATGATACTAATACAGGTGACTGGTGTGGTGTATGTAACATTTGAAAGCGTGTGCATGTCAGTTAAATATTTCACTGTGTGGATGTTTTTATATAGGATAGTAAATCTATCAGCAGATGAGACACAATTTTTAAAAAGTCACGATAGGTTTATTGATCCATAACAAATTAAAAACATAGTGGGTGAAAACAATTTGCATAATCATATATTATCTTAAAAAGAAAAGCAAATGAGGAACATATCTGTCCAGCAGAATCAGCTTCATAAAAAAGAATAGTCATTATCCTAGCGTAATTAACTTCTGTATGTTTTTTCTATTTTAATGAAGCATAAACACAAAATATAATTGAAGCTACAAAAACTAAGCAAAGCAACAAAAGAAATCACCAAAGTATTGAAGCGTAACTAAAGGATTAAGTAGTATATTAATAAAAAGGGAATATTCTCTGATTTCAAGTATCTCCTGTGAGACAAAATACAGATACGCCTGTATAAAATAAAAACATCTCATACATGTCCTGCATGCATGCTTCATTGTGATTTTCCATGTATAACTTGTTGTCTAGTTGTTTCTATTACAATTATTAGAGAGATATCCTTAAGTCCAACATTAATTACAATTTGAAGAATCCATGGGCCTGTTTGTTAAAGAGCAGGGCGATCTGTCAACATAATGCCTCCAATGCCATGGAGATGGGTCAGTTCTGCGGGATGGACAAAACTCACATTAAATACTCGGGTGAGGAGGGGTTGTCACTGGTGGACCCGGTTTCGTGGTAACAGTTCGCACCGGACAGTTTCTCGCATTTACTTTTGTATGCATCCCTCTCCCGCATCAGCCTGTTCAGTTCGTGTTTCAGCTGCTCGACCTGTCCCACCAGGCTGGTCTTTTCGTGCTCCAAAACGTGTTTCTGCTGGACGCGCTTGTAGCGGCAGGACTGTGCGTAACCTCTGTTTTTCAGGGTCCGGCGCTTCTGCTTCAGACGCATCACCTCGTCCTTGCCCAGGCCCCTGAGGAGCCGGTTCAGCTCCCTGACGGACATGGACACCAGCTGGTCGTCGGAGAAGTTGCTGTCCGCGTTGGACCGCCGGTCGTAGCGGCTGTGCGGGATGTGCGCACCGAGGTCCGACTCGTCATCCATCGAATCAGGGGAATCGCACCCCATGTCATCTTTCATATAAGGGTCTTCGCAGTGACTGCCGGGGATACCTTGCATGTCGGGGTGACCCGGGAGTCCCGGGTACTGCTGGACCGGCTCGTTGATGTGGCCGTACCCATCGTACTCAGCTTGGAAAGGTGGCTGGTGGTGGCCGTGGGGCACAGATGGGTGTCCCTGCTGTGCCGTGGCTCCGATCAGGGCCTCCATTGCGTCCTCGGGTGTCAGACCGAAAGATTGGGGGTACATTTGCTGAGGGTAACCCCCGTTGTTGGGTAACCAGAACTGGTCGCCCCCGGGGTTATTTCTCGGCTCGCTGGGGTTGAGGTTCGGTGACGAGGGTACCGAGTTGCAAGGTGTGCTGCCGGGGGTGGAGGAGACCGAGTCCGGTCTCTGGAGCTGGCTGCATGGCCCGATAAAGGAGCGGTCCATCCCTTGCATCGATTCTTTCTTAACGCCGAACTTCGCAAAGTCGAAGTCGCCGACGAAATCCATGTTGTTTTTCTGAAGTCCCAAATGTGAATGCGCCTCAGCGGACATGTTAACTGACAAAGCTGTTCTCTTCAAAGAGCTCTGAGTGTCCGACGCTATTTCACACAGTCAGCAAAAACGTGCTTACTTTCGAAAAATGGCAGTAATTCCAAACTTTGATTTCAGCTCACAAAGGGAAAAGACATGCGTGCGTAAAAAGCGTCCAAAACTCTGAAGTGGAAATTCTGCACCGCGCAGCCTTTTTTGTTTTCACTCGCTACACACTGAGACTCCACACTGATGCCAGCGAGCTGGACGCACCTCTGCCTGCTCAGGAGAAGCGCACTTTCTTCATAAAGCTGCATTGCTGTGATGTCACGCCTTCCAGGCTACACCTCCACACTGCTCTCCAATGAAAAGACGCTGAGGAGGCAATTTGCATAAAAGCTGCTACGAGTCTGTCCCCACGAGCTTTTCGTGATGATCACTTGACCAAAACCTATAAATGTCTGCACAGCTACACACTATCTTATACAATATGTTTTTGTATATTCTACTTGTCCTCTATTTTATATTTAGGCCTATTTATCTCACAGGAATTTGTACTATTCTTGCACTTCTTCTCCTCACTTACTCTTCTTTGATTTCTATTTCTACTTGCACTATTTGTATTTGTTTTAAGTGAATTATATTTGATGTTGCATTGTTGGAGGAGCCTGTGACTTATATTTCCATTGCCAAAAGTATTCTGTATCTAAATCAAATCAAATGAAAAATTTATTATATCCCCAAATCACAATAAATGCCTCAAAGGGCTGTACAAAGCAAACAAAAGCAACGACAAAAACAATATTAAAACGTCATAGCATAACACTTATAAAAACATTATCTATCTAGTATAGATAGTGCAATAGTATCTATTTTGCATATGACAAAAAAGCCTATGAATCTTTAGATTAATCTAGGCAGAGTTAAAAATACCTACACACTGAGTCTAGGCAGTGTTTTTATCTTCATTAAGCAAATCCAATAAACATAGGTCACTTTTGCCTAAATATTAAACTTGCTTGATATCATTTTTTTCTTTCAAGCTTAAGTTGGTTTATATTTATATCTGGATTTGTGGTCATGTACACACGCCTGATTTCACTTAAACTACAACAAAAGGGAGGATACAGGACACTTTATTTCACTGTTGTTGTGGCCATGCTCTGTGGTTAGCACACAGGAGAACACTGACACCTTGTGGCCTCTAGTCTACACTGCAGGAGTCCCAATCTTAATATCTACCCTTAGATATGAAGTGTGCACCATCAAAGACTTGCATAAGAGGGAGCGAGTGTGTTTCTGATTCAGTAAACTGAGGCTTGTGTTCTAAGAGGAATATTTGTGTTGTCAGATAAAAACATGTTAACAAACTTTGTCAGAAGGCTGTTTAGCTCTTTTCATCCATCCATCCATCTTCTCCCGCTTATCCGTGGTCGGGTCTTTTCATATAATTCTTTATTTTCTTAATTGTATTTGTTTTCTGGATGTTTTCAGGCTGTATTACTGCTGTTTTGACAGATAAAATGCTAAGAATGATTGGTTAATCTCATGTAGCATTGTGCATGTATTTAATATGTGAATACAGAGATGTTCTCTACCCTAAGCCCCTGACAGGCAGGAAAAGGCGAAGCATCTGACAAATCTATTCTTTCTTAATGTATTTTTGAACCAGAGTTGGCTGAAAGGCTCGTATTCATCTACAGTCCCAGCTCAGCAACATCTCTCACACAATTAAAAAAAAAAACCTGGCATGTTCCAGGATGTACTGCCTGATTCAGGGAACCTAGCGGTGTCCAGAAGTGACACAACCGCACAGGAAATCAAAGGGTTAATCGACGTTCCTGCCCTGAGGTGACCCTCTCAGGCACCGCTTCCTCCAAAGATAGCGAAAAGCTTCACTGACAAGATAGAGGATTCGAGCCAAAACCAATAGAAAGTGCTGTCCGAGGACGCAGAGGCATTGTTCCAGTCAGGTTTAGTTGCTGGGAATAAAGGAAAAGAGGAGACAGTGTGACTGAGTGGGGATGGCTCAGGGACACAGAGTAGGATTTATGTCAGCATGGCGGGGGGGGGAGGGGAGTATGTAGTATAAGTTAGGCTAATGATAAGATGCTAACAGCCTAAGTGCACTCGGATAATTCACTACAAAAACACATGCTGTAACACACTAACATTATACATTTGACCCATAAAGCATCAACGGCTCTTGTAAATAGGGTTTCACTTTATTTGGAGTGAGACCATTAAGTGAAAATGGATATTATTTGGATATTAATTGTGCCTACCCATCTACAAACTACACTAATCATGTAGCTTCTTTATAGGCGGTTGAGGTAGGGGCTCTACGTAGTACAGGTTTAGATCTGCCAATTTTTGTAAAGTAGGCAGCATTTGTGTGTTGAGAGGCTAAAAGCATGGATGCTGCTTTCACATCCCAAAGGACCCACTTTACATAACCTGTGATGTCCTTGATTACAAAACAAATTCAGAAACCACATTACATAGAAGACAACCGCTGTAACTCGCAAATGTTTCTGTCGAAATATGGTAAAACTCTTGAAGTAGGGATGCCCCAATACGGATCAGGTCGATACAGACTCAATTAGTTGGATTTTGTCATTTTGACTTAAGAGTCAGCAGAAAGCTGCCAACAAAGCCATTTGGCATCTCTTGCTACCTATCAGTGGTTAACTTTCCATGTTAGAAATAATCAAATGTAAGCGCATGGTCCTTTTTAGTTTTGTCTGTTTGTTGTGGGATTGGCTGTTAATGACATGACACAGCAGTGCCTACTGACCATGTTTAAAACATTTTAAAGTGAAAAACAAGGCTTGCTTTGCTGGTCCTAAGTGTTAAGTTAATAGGTTGTGTTGGCTGGTATACTCCAAAAATGGCTGACTTGCTGCTGATGACGTCAAAATACTATCCCCTGTTGTGTTAAATGGGGCCTATCTATTCAACTATGTTATATACTGAATTTACCAATCCTGACCATTTTTTTCAGAACTTCCTGTTCATTTGGAAGATATTCATTTTCATCAAGTTGTTGGTGCATAAAATATTGTTTTCATATTTAATTTAACAAATCAGTAATACACTTTGTATTTATGTGTTACCTTTAGGTTTGCAAAGTTAGCAAAGCAATGTTTAAGCCAGGCCTGATTTTATTTTAAACATGAAACAAGGATCCCCGTAACTTCCACACAGTAAGGCATACAGTTTATTAATCTAACACCAGTATCAGTTTGGTGGTCAAAGCCCAAGTATCAGTATGCAGGCTAAAAAAAAGTTGGATCAGTGCATCCATTTTTAAAATGTGACCAACTTCAAGTTCATCCAATGCTAGAAGGCTGACACGTAACAGCAAGTCTTCTAAGAAGCTTTAACATCCATAAAGCACCCTAGATAATCCAGAGTTTTGTTCCATTTCGGGTTGCAACATCACAGCATCAATTAACTGGCTGTCGTCAGTGCATAAGCAGCACGAAGGCAATTAGAAAAGGACTATTATGTGGATATCAACAGTCACTCACTTGTTTCTCTCAAAGTTGAATACAAAAACCGATTGCAAGATGCGCTATGAGAGGAAAACCAGTTACAGTTCAGCCTTAAGAAACGATAAAAACAAAAGGTTTGACAGGTTTCTGCATTCTGTCTGTGGCATGCCTGACAGAAATGAACCATGTCCTTGTCTTCCTTTCTTTCTGTATACACAACATCTTTCCCACATGGCAATTGGGGTTCTGTGTGTTTCTAACGCTATTTTGTAAACACAACAGGGGCCATACTGGAGAGTTAGCTTAATTTACCTTCCAGTCCACATAAAACAAACATGGAGAGAGCAAGCAGCGTTAGGAGAAAAGCCATGGCCCGACAACTTAAAGGAGAGGTCATGATTGCTGGAGAACAACTCAGGTATGAAGAGAGAAAGAGGTGGTGCTGGAGTGGATGTATGACATGTCTTTGGTCAGGTTTATGGGGGATTCAAAGTGTTAGGTCAAACATATGGCTGATTAATTTCAAGGTTGAGGCTACACGATGGAAAACTGATCAAGGACCGACGCTACCACCTTCGCACGTATCCAAACTGCTTTGTGGCACAGGAACTTATAGACTGGCTGGTGAGCCATAAGGAAGCTCCGGATCGAGCGACAGCCGTCTGCCTCATGCAGCACCTCATGGATCATGACATCATTCACCACGGTAATAATGAATTGAAAGGGGATATATGAAGACCTTCTCTGAATTAATGTTTTTCTATTGAAGTTTTATAAAAAGACAGACTTATTTCAAAACTTATCCAATGGAGCAGATGTGGCTCAGGGGAGCTAACCAATTTAGATGGTCAATGGTTTGATCCCCAGCCCCTGCAGCTGACATGTTGAGCTTTCCTTGAGCAAGATACTTAACCCACATTTACTCTCGTAGGCATGTTTATGGTATTAAAGTTTACTTAAATTGCTTTGGATCATCAGTAAAGTGACATGTAATGTGATTTGAAACTGTATGTTTTCTTTTCATAGTTTGTGATAAGAGGTCAGTATTGAAGGATGCCAAACTACTGTACCGTTTCCGGAAGGATGACGGCACCTTTCCCTTCAATACGGAGGTGAAAATCTTCATGCGAGGACAACAACTTTTTGAACAGTAAGAGCTACAGTTCGTTTTGGTGCTGGGATACTTTTCTTTGACCTAAGAGTGTACTAGTTGGGATCCCAAATTGGTAACTTTGAAATGCTATATCCAGCATTTCCATGACAAATCTACTTAGGGTTTTTGTGTCTCTTTCTCAAGTCTCATAGGGGACAAGGACTCCATTCTGCAGTTGAGAGTGGAGCATGGCGTGGCCTATCAGCGCTCCTTTCCTGGCTGCCAGTTGATTGACTGGCTCCTTCAGAACATGGAGGCAGAAAGCCGGCGTCAGGCCCTGGATCTGTGCCGCATATTGCAGGAGCATGGCATCATTCAGCACGGTGAGGGGAGTCTTTACTTACCCTTTGATGTATAGCAACAGGACTGTGAGCTGCTGCTGGCAGTGGGTAGGGCTGGCACTTTTTAAAATCTGAAGAAAAAACCCTCATGGAGTTTTCTTTTTAAATCCCATACATTTTAAAAACGTTTTGTTTTGTGTCTTTCTCTCTGTCCCTTTCCCACCACTAGTGACAAAGAAGTATGATTTCTTTGACAGTGGACTGCTGTATCAGTTCTGCATCAATTTTTGTCGCAGGCGCCACCTATCTGAACTGTTGAGTGAAAGTGAAGAGGACGACGAAGATGTGGTGATATTGACACAAGAGGACAACCATCTTGAAAGTCCATTTGTTTTGCACAAAAGCCATCCTCAAGAGGGCAGTAGTGCTTTCCAGTCAGGTAAAAACTTATCTCTTTCCATTTTTGCACAATTTTTTGCCTATTTTATAAACTTTGAATACTAATTATCGAATATAAAAGTCACTACTAATTAACTACGGTGGGGTCAGGTAAATATCTGGAACAGGCTACCAGTGGGCGTCGACGCAGCTTGACTCAGCTTCACTCTGCTGGATTTCCACCCTTTGTCCAGCTCAATTCAACTTCAGTAATATGTAATCCTAAATCAGGCAAGTGTGTAATTAATATTCATGTGTCAAGTAAATGAAATGTTCTATTGAGGTCCAAAACTGGAAATGGTGAATGTTCTTGATTTGTTTGTAAAACTTTTTCCAGTGCTTAGTAGAAGTTATACATCTGAAGAGCTATTGGCACCTGGTGCGCCTTTCATGAAGAAAGTGTTGACGGTGAGTTTGTTATAACTTTTTGGATTTTTAAGAGCTAACATTGGAGGCATCTCTGGTGTGTAAACAGCATTATTCCTGTATCAACTTAACAACAATACTCCTAAATTAAGTGGAGAATTAAATCACTTCAAAGTTGCCTATAGGAACAAGATGTAATGCATTTTTGAGAGATTATTCTTCCATGTGGAATAATAATGTTGTTTCTTAATATTGATACAATATAATCCATTTAATTACTGCACAAAGTAATGTCACTCACCTTCATCACAGGTGATAGGAGATGACCTGGCCTGGGGCTTTGTTGTCAGGGGCATGGCTCCCTGTTATGTGCAGGCTGTTGACCCTGGAAGCCCTGCAGCCGCTGCTGGAGTTAAGGTTAGATATATGTTTCACACATGGCACAGAAAATGGTAAAATACCCTCAAAGGAATTTGTAAAACATCACATATTTGACTCTTAAGACCTGTGTACTTCACATTATCTTCTTTAGGTGCGGCAGTTTTTGTGCCAGGTGAATGGACAGTGTGTTCTCTACCTGGACTACAGGACAGTCTCCAGGCTGGTGATGACAGGGCCTCGCACCGTTGTACTGGAAGTTATGGAACCACTGGAATGACAACATATTTCTGGTTTCAGACACAACTGCTCTGTTGGAAATGGAGGATCATTTTGTAAAGTTTATTTTTCCCAATTGCAGACTAGTACGGGCAGAGTTCTTATCTACATTGTCTGGGGTCGGGGTTGGAATCACTGAACATGGTTATGGTCGCAGCAAGAGTTAAACTCAATGATTGTGTGTCTATAGTGTTCTCATGAATTCATGAGCAATACATGTTTGCTTTGTATGACTGAAAATCTGAGGTGGAAAAAGTACTCAGATCTTAAATATTTAAGTAAAAGTAGAAATACCAGTGTAAAAACTCTGTTACAAGTAAAAGTCCTGCAATCAGAATGTTTTCACAAGAAAGTACAAAAGTATTGGCATCAAAATATACTTAAGTAACAATGGTACAAGTGCTCATTTTGCAGATTGGCCCATATACAAATATTTTCTGAAAATTGTTATTGATGCATTAAAGTATTATCAAAGCTCGTTAATGTGCAGCTAATCTTAATGACTTTCTATGCTGCAGGGTAGCTTGTGAATTTACTCCAGGTGTAACTAAAGTCTTATTTAATTGTTGTTTACATTTCTCACCCTTATTCCTAATCTGAAAAGTAACTAAAATCCTAAAACATATGCAGTAAAAGTAAAAGTACACTAAATAGGGCCTAGGCCTACCTTTAATTTGTATTGGGGTAGAGGTACAAAGTAGCAAGAAATGGGAAAAAGTGCCTAGAAATGGAACTAAAGTACAGTAGGCCTACTTGAGTAAATCTACGAAGTTACTTTACACCAATGCTGAAAATATTTTTTTTTACCAAAACAACCACAATAGACCAACTTTTACCCATCCAACCAGCGCCTGCCCAGCTCCCTTCTACGACTTCCGTCTTCTTATCGTCGCCATTTTCGACTGAGAGTTGGCTTGTTTGTAATGGATAGCGTTAGCTAGCAGGCTAGCCTGACCACCAGATCAAACACAAGACTAACTTGCCTTAGCCAGAGAACTGGGCGGTCCTGACAGTTATTCTTGTATATTGTTTTCATTTGATGTGCACCCCTCTGTCCTGCCCTTCCCTCCTCAAGCTAAGTTGGCTAACTGTAGCTGATACAGCTAACAGACTAGCTTAGTGAGCTAGCTGTGGAGCATCAGCACCGGCTCAGAGGAGAGCGAACATCACCTCATCTGCACGTCCCGATCAGCCGATCAACTTCTTTGTTGGTCCTTTATGTATTGAGGCAACCGGCAATAGCTAGCCTACAGTCGTATCCTAAGGTGAGTAAATATGTGATTGAATTGACAGTTTAAATTAAGAAATAAATAACGCTAACCGGCTATGGAACGCTAGCTTAGCTAAGTAAACCTACGGACATACGCGGGCAACAGAGCTAATGTTGGCTAACCAACTAGCGCTAGCACAGAAAGCTAACAACATGTGGTGTAACTCTGATTACATAATAAATAACGCATCAAATCAGGGACATTTCACTCCTTGTGACTCATTAACGATGTCTTTATACTATATATAACATCTGTATTTACTATGTATTACATATGAATGTAACCACATATTCATAAACCCTGCACCGTATACGTATATGCTTCTAAATCGGCATCTGATACAAATATATTTATTTATTTATTTATACATTATTTACATTACTACAGCATTGTTCTGTTATGTGAATTAATTGGAAACTCATGCACTTTATCACTCTTTGCACTTTCTGGTTGGATGCAAACTGCATTTCTTTGTACTCAGTGAAATGACAATAAAGTTGAATCTCATGTAATCTACTCCACTAAAATTTGAATATTTTACTTTTTGCTCCACAATTTTTTTTTTACAAATATAGTTACTAGTTACTTTCCAGATTCAGATTACTAGCTAAAATTAAATATAATAAATTAGAACATAAACTATGATTTATATCATGTTAGGTTTAAATATCCAGCATTAAAAGTAGCTGCACCATGCCAATACTTTTATACATTTGTACTTTTACTTAAGATTTTTACTGCAGGGCTTTTTAATTGTAACAGTACATTTGTTGTACTGTATTAATTCTACTTTTACTTAACTAAAATATACTAGTACTAATTCCTCCCTTGAATAAAATGTAAGTTTGCCTCAAACTAATGAGCTGTTAATTTGATTTCAGGAGAGATGTATCAACTTCCAGTGAATAACCTTGCAAGGCTCAGGAAAGCTAGGAAACATGTGAAAAGAGCACTTGGCGACATTGGACTAGAGTACTGTAAGGAGGCAGCAGAGGTGAGTCTATTTTATTTGCATTAAAGTTAAAGCTTATTTATCTTTTTCATTCTTGTTTAAACATAGTTATAAGTGTGTGTAGGTGTGTATCTAAACCTACCGGTCTGGCTGATAATTACAAAATATTGTATGCAATCAAATGTGCCTGATTTAATATGAACTAATCCTTATTGTGTACGATAACAATCCTAAATCTTTCCACAGGAGTTTAAAGAGTTTTGCCCTGATGAGCAATATGTACAGGCCAGTCTTTGCCTTAATATCTGCTCATGGGATCCATCATATTCTAAAACACAGGTAAAAGTGATTTCTGTGTCCAAGGCCTTTTAACATTCTTATGCACAAATAACTATTTTTGTCTTAATACCATTGTTTTTTCCCCTGATGTTTTATAGGAATACAGATCGAAGCCATTCTGCTGCACGGAGTGCCCGTTTTCCTCCAAGTACTACTCGGGCTACAAAAATCACTTCCGCAATGTACACAGAAAAATCTTTGATGGTAAAATTCAGCTCAACTGTCCTTACTGCTCATTCGCTGCAAGCAAAAAGACATTGGAGACTCATGTTAAAATATTCCACATACCCAAAGCAGCACAGCAAAGTTATGGGAACCCACAGGGAGCTGTGCTGGGAAAGAACAACAAAGTGCAAATTGATAGGGTGAGACAGGGAGATGGTGTGGAGAAAGCAATGTACTTTTGCAAAAAGTGCACGTTTCGGGACACTCTTTACAATGTTGTGAGACGGCACATCTACAGGGAACATTTTCAGCACATTGTGTCACCATATCTTGGTATGGTTTCCGATTCATCTGTCAAAAAAGGTGCTAATTCTGTCAATGGCAACAACATCCTCTGTAAAGGCTGCCCGTTTACCACTCGTAGTTATGAAGCTTTAGTGCAGCATGTTGTAGAGTACCACGAGCGCATTGGTGCTCAAGTAACAACTATGATTGGACATGCTAATGTTATTGTCTCCAGGCCTCAATCCTTGCCAGCTGCTTCTCAGAAGTCCCCTGTGATCATTAGGGGCCAAACACTTAGAATTGAACCAATGGCACAATCAGTGATTGGCTATTTAAAGCCAATGGCCCCTGCTGTTAAAAGTCAGTACTCCATCGCATCCGGCAAGGTGCGTATCACACTTCCTGGGAATAGCAATGTGGCTGAAAATAATGCTGGTGTAAACACATCGCAGACACAGAAGTGGAAGATATGTACAGTTTGCAATGAGCTCTTTCCTGAAAACCTCTACAGTGCTCATTTTGAGAATGCACACAAGGCAAAGAAAGTATGGGCACTGGCCAAGTACATCATGAAAATCCACAACTTCACCAGCAAGTGTCTGCTTTGCAACCGCTATCTGCCCAGTGACACACTGCTTAACCACATGCTAATCCACGGGCTCACCTGTCCGCAGTGCCACGCTGCTTTCCACAATGTTGAGAAGATCATTGAACACGTCGGCCAGGCTCATCCTGATGACTTTGTTGGACCCCCAGGTGCATCACCTCTAACTTTTGATCTCACCATTAAACAAGATAAGTCCATAAACGTACAGCTTGTTGTGCTCACGTTCAACATGAAGGAATCGAGTAATGGTCAAGATCCGTCTGCTCAGAAAGTTTCAAGGCTGGCCAAGCTAACTAATCCGAGAATGATTGAAAAGAAAAGTGAACAACTTGTTCGAAACTTTGCCGGACAGGGCAAGAAGACTGAGGTCGGGAAGACTTTGTGTCCGCTCTGTTTCACCATCCTCAAAGGTCCCATCTCCGAGGCTTTGGCCATGCATCTGAGAGAGCGACACCAAGTGCTCCAAACAATGCATCCTGTTGAAAGAAAGATGACATACAAGTGCATTCATTGCCTGGGTGTGTACACCAGTAACATGGTGGCTTCCACAATCACGCTGCATCTTGTGCAGTGCAGAGCTGTTGGTAGGAACCAGGCAAGCCAAGGCTTCAAGTCCGCCTTGACGCTCAACTCCTCCGGGGCTGGCTTCCTCAAGAGGCAGCCACCAACTCAGGCTTCAACCGACCCCAAGAAGATGAAACTGAGCAAGGAGTCAAATATTTCCTCCACAACTGTTGGAAATCAGTCCATACTTGACGGACTCGCTCTGGATCCTGGAAGCTACGAGCACAAGACTTACGAGGCCCGGAAAGATTTTCTGACGGCCTACTTCAACCAGCGACCATACCTCTCTACTTGGGAAGAGGAGACGCTGTCTGCAAGTCTGTGGCTCTGGAAATCTGACATTGCTAGTCACTTCGCAAACAAGCGAAGGATGTGCGAAAGACACTGCGAGGCCAAGAAGCTGTCTGTCCTGCTCGGCTTTGACATGCACGCTGTAAAGAAAGTTAAGCATGACTTGGAGTTTGTGGAAAGCACGATTACTGGCACCTTCACGGGGAGATCTGGAGGCCTCAAGTCTGGTACTCCAAGCACAGACCAAAACAAGCAGAGTGAGACACTAAAATGTACCTTAAAACTCAGTACATGCACAGAGACTATTTCCATTGACTCAGACAGTGAAACAGAAACAGTAGATAAACCTACTGAGAATGGAAATGTTGACACTAACCAAGATGAGAATGGAAATGTTGACTCTAACCAAGATGAGAATGGAGATGTAGACTCTAACCAAGATGAGAATGGAGATGTTGACACTAACCAAGATGAGAATGGAGATGTTGACTCTAACCAAGATGAGAATGGAGATGTTGACTCTAACCAAGATGAGAATGGAGATGTTGACACCAGCCAAGATGAAAATGGAAATGTTGACTCTAACCAAGATGAAAATGGAGATGTTGACACTAACCAAGATGAGAATGTACCATCTGAGGAGCCAGCAAACCTGACAGAAGAGACTGAACCTTTGAACACTGACGACCCCTCTAGTGAAAAGGAAAGCTCTTTGCCAGATGAGAAAGCAAATGCTTTGATGACTTTGTGTTAGTGTCGCTGCTTAGAAGTGTGCCTTGTAAACAGTATTCAAGGCAAACAAAAAGAACAGGTCTGAAGATGGTTACTAATCACAAATATTTGGTCAAATGGCATGAGTGACTAAAATGAAACATTTTGATTTTGGGTGGGGGGGAATGACATATAGTGCATAAATATATGACATATGTAATAGACATTGTATATATTTTAGCCATTATTCTTTTGATAGTTTCTTCCTATGTTATTCACCTTAACTGTCCCAAGATTGGTTAAATGATTATTCAAACTTCCCCTCTTACATATTTTCGTTGTTGGGACAAAAAACGGTATCATATTGTTATTTCACATTTAGAACATGTAGGATATGCTAAATGCTCATGTACATGTTTTAATAAATATGTTTGTTAAATAAAAACATTTGAAGTCTGTTACAATTTTTGATTCAGGTCTTATGGAAATAGATATTTTCTTATGTATAGAATGAAGGTTTAATGTAGTTATGTCTATTGTCAATCGGAGAAAAAAAAATATTTGGATTTTGTTTAGTGTGTACTCAAATGTAAAGAAAGTGATATAAAAAGGATTGTAAAAAAAGAGACAATTTGTTGTAAGTAAATGTAGGTTAAGTGCATGTTGTCAACTAGAGCTCATATGTTACTGAACTTTTAATTCACAGCATTAATCATAAATGAACAAGAACACGTTTTTTTTACAACAAGAACTAAGGACAGAAGATTTTAAGGAAAAATCTCCCCAGCTTTTGTCTTTGTCATGACTTTAATTATAATTGACATGTTTTTTTGGTATGATAATGCTGAATCAGGTTTGGGGTCTATCCATGTCTTCTCAGAGGTGGAAGAAGTACTCAGATTGTGTACTTAAGTAAAGTAGAAGTACCAGAGTGTAGGAATACTAAGTTACAAGTCAAAGTCCTGCATTCAGAATATTACTCAAGTAAAAGTATTAGCATCAAAATATACTTAAAGTACCCGAAGTAAAAGTACTCATTGCAGGGTAGCTTGTTAATGTACTCCAGGGGTGTAACTAAAATCTTGATTGTATTTTATTATATTTCACATCATTAATCAAAATAACTAAATCAATGTCGGAGTAGTCTGTGGTATTCTGTACAAAGCAGCAAAACATTGAAATACTCAGGTAAAGTACAAGTCTCTCAAAATGTTAGTTAATTTAAGTACAGGCGTAAACGTAGTAAGTTACTTTACACCACTGCTCTTTCTGGAGAAGGAAATGACGAACATTTTCTCCAGGAAAGAAACGTAAATGCTTTTCCAATAAATGTATTTCAACGGGCCCCTTAATTTCCGGTCTTTCTCAGACGCTGATTGGTCCAGCGGCCGAAGGAGGCGGGACTTCTGGCTGTACAGTAGCCGAATTGGCCAACCGCCAGCGTGCATCATAGTCCAGGCCATAGTGTGGAGCTGCAAAAATGTCCATAGTCTGTTTCTATTCACAACTACAGCTTTTAGTAAGTCCATAGCTGCACTCTGAAAGGGAAAACAACCTTTTTAGCAGTTGTAAGTATAACTGTCAAATTATGATTACCTCATATCCTTCCCGTGAATGTAGTTTGTGGTCGGTTTTAGATGCGTTTACTAAATATAAACAGCTAGTTAGCACGTTAAGCTAAAACTAGTTATATCTACGTGACGTGTAACTAAAGCTGTCAAGGTGGCAGGTTGACACATATATGTCTTCATGTACATCGTAATTGTTTAATGCTGTTGTATTTCCTAACGTTGAGCTTGTGAGGGTGCTTTGTTTTGATTATTTTTGTTAGCTTCAAATGTTTGCGACAATATGTATGAAACGATGTTTCATACATATTTTCTGCCATTCCAGACACCCATTAGTTTGAATTCATATAATAACAAAAGTGAAAGATATCAGCAGATTGCTTAACCGTACAGTCAACATGTTCACTTTATTGTGTGCTAATGCAGAGCAAATACTTTGTATTCATCTGCAAGTATTAATCAGATATGACAATGTGACTGAATGTCATGCCTGATGTTTTCTGTGATGAATTACACAAGTCTTGAATGTTTTATGAGTTACATATTCATGTCGTACAGTAATGAATGGAAACCAACGGGTGCTAAAACACTTTAAAACGTTGCTGAATGTACCTATAGGTGGAAGTTTGTACTTAAGTAAACGTAGAAGTACCAGAGTCTAAAATACTCTGTTAAAAGTGAAAGTCCTGCATTCAAAATGTTACTCTAGTCAAAGTACAAAAGTATTTTGTAAAAGTGCATGTTTTGATTATATTTATTGATGCATTAATGTGTTTATCAAAGCTGGCTAAGGTGCAGCTAGTTTTTACAGTTGTATTTATTCCTGGGTGGTTTTTTGAATTGAGTCCAGGTGTAACTAAAGTCTTATTTAACTGTTGATTATGTTTTATATAATTTATCCTGCAAAGTAACCTAAGGTTTTAAAAATGTAGTGGAATACAACTACAATATTTGCCTCTGAATTGTAGTGGGGTAGAAGTACAAAGTAGCCAAAAAAACTTTCAATATTCAAGTAAAGTACAATACCTCCAAATTGTACTTGAGTGCATTACTTGAATTAAAGTACTTAGTTACTTTGCACCACTGCATGGACTTCACTCTCCTCTCTGTATGCTTCCAGGCTGCATCATAAAGAGAAGACGCTCTGATGTGACGGCGCACAGACTGAGAGGAATGGCAGGAGAAACCATGGGGTTTGATTAGCCTGTCTGTGTGTTGGACGATCACTCTGTGGAAATCATGTCGCACAGGAACAGAGAGCTGGTGGAGTTCTTTGTGAGCTACAAGCTGTCTCTGAGGAACTACCCATGCTCTCTGCTGAGGACAGAGGACGCTGGCAGGAGGACTGAGGGAGAAAAGGCCAGCTCGGCCGCCAGCAACGGCTCGGCGGTCAACGGGGGCGGCCAGCCTGGGACGGCGTCACCCCCCCCGGGTGATATGGAGCTGGTCAAGGAGGCTCTGAGGGACTCGGCCAATGAGTTTGAACTGCGCTTCACGCAAGCGTTTAGTGACCTCTCCTCGCAGCTCGACATCACTCCTGACACAGCCTACCACAGCTTTAAGAGCGTGATGGACGAGGTGTTCAGGGACGGGGTCAACTGGGGACGTGTGGTGGGCCTGTTTGCATTCGGCGGCGTGCTGTGTGTGGAGTGTGTGGAGAAGGGTATGAGCGAGCTGGTGTCCCGCATCGCAGACTGGATGACCATGTACCTGGACGAGAACATCAGTCCGTGGATCCAGAGCCAGGGAGGATGGGTGAGTCAGCAGGGAGGAAGGGAGTCAACATGCAGGTTTATTAATGGCACTGTGACTGAGTCTATCCAAAACAGATAATGAGTGGCACACAGTGAGGTAAAAGTGTGGGAATAAAAACAGCAAATCAATACTCGGTATCAGCAGATCGCCTTTGTAGGCATATCAAGAAAACTACTTTTGTTTGAAGATATATTGTCCAAGAAATCCGTTTACTGAATTCTATTATTTTTATATTACTCCCAAGTTTAATCAGTGCATCCCTCACTGTGTCTAGTGATTTAAAAAAGCAATAACACAAGAAAAATAATCAGATTTTGGTATCGGAAACTCTCTGCCTTGAGGCTCTATATCCAGTCAGCTTTGAGTCACAGCAATTATTCCAAGGAGTGGCCAGAAAAATATCAATTATCTAAACACTTCTCCGACCACTCCTGCAGCATGGAGCACTTTTGTGCCATTTGTGCACTCATGCCTCATTATATTATTTATGAAAACATCTGAAAGGTACTTTTATTAACCAGTATTTAAAAATATCAACAAACATTTGTTATCATCTCTCTTCTTGTTGTCATCTGCAAACAAAAACAGGTATATTAAACTCCAACAACTTTCAATGTCTGGCGAATTATAAATGTCTTTCTTTCCTCATTAATATATTAGTGACAACACATCAAAATACAGCAAATACATGTCTATTAGAAAAACAAACAAATACCCTAAATACACACACACACACACACACACACACACACACACACACACACACACACACACACACATTAAGTAACTCAATATACAAAAAAGCACTAAATACAAAAAAGCCAAATGACATGTCTCATTTATTGCAATTTTTAGGTCATCAATTTTAAAGTTGCAATTACATACATGTTGTTCATAGGTGCAAAAGTAATATTTTAACCCCAAACTGTAGATTTTCTGTGAAGTAATCCTTGATATGAGCAGGTACGAATCTAGGCATTGTCTAAATCCTCTTTCTGTTTTCCAGGACTGCTTTGCTGAGATTTTCGGGCAGGACGGCGCTGCAGAAGTGAGGCGATCTCAGGAGAGGATGAGAAGATGGCTGCTGGCTGGAGTGGCGCTGCTGATGGGAGTGCTGGTCGTTGTGGTCGTCACTAAGAAACGGTGAATGTGCTTTATCGTGGCACCCCCCTGTGTATTGCAACGCCAACAAAAAGTAAAAAAGGAAATAGTTGATGTTTACAAAAAGCCCAGTCTGCTTGTGCACTGACAGAATGTGGATTGGCTGACAGCAGTTTGCGGGAGTCTCTATAAAATGTAGCTTTGTGAGCCGTAACACCTCTCACCCCACTTTGTCCTGTAACTTTTATTATTTTAAACACACGGCCAAGACTTTCAGTTGTTAAAGGGTGTTAACGTCCAGACTGGAAGTGCTTTAAATGATAAGCTAAGTGAAATAGATTCAGCTGGTTTGATGAGACTGTTTATTTTATTTTTCCTTTGTGCATTTTCCAAGGACCAAACTTTTATTACTTACAAACTGACAGATAGAATATACGTTATACTTCCTCTTCACTGTGTAATGCTCAGCTCCTTTGTTGGCTGTACTGGAGTGTTAGGCATGCTTCAAAAAATAAATATATTTATGTTTTTCTTGTGTCTTTTTTGTTTGTTGTGTAGGTGAATTAGTAAACCGTTAGTTGATAGACAGAAAAATAATCCCTATTTTGATCATTGATTAAGTAATAACCTGCAGATTCTTTTCTGTTCAGTTTGATATTAAAATGCCTTTATTTTAGTTTCAGACTGAGAAAAACAACACATTCAAAGACATCACCTCAGAATTTAAGCAACAACTGGGATGGACCATTTTTTGCATTTCCAAAAGACTACAAATCTCACATCTCAGAATTATTCAGCGAAATTTGTAGAAGGAAATAAAACTCTAATGCAATAAAATGACATCATCGTCTCCCAAATAATCTCCTCTTTTGGTGCAGAGAAAGATATTTATATCTACATACATACCAAAAATGTTATGTTTACATTCTCTGTTTCTATGTTTTACATGCCTAGGGGGCTCCAAAGATAATTCTCCTGCTTCGGCCTGACAGGAAAATGTATTTTATTCTAATCAAGAGCAGATGTGATTTTGTGAATCTTTTAGAAGATTTAACACAATTCATATTCAACATAGATTAAAAAAATGTAATGCCCGCCCACTGAATAAAAATGTATCAGATTATATACCAATATTCTGATATAGACATCAGTGAATACATCACTTGTTAAGTACAGCAATCATAAAATCATTAATTTTTTCATAAACAGTATCTAAAATATTTCTGATACATGAAAGGATAGATCAAATATCTTTAATGAGGGAATCCTCTTTAAATGTCTTTTACCCATAGCCTGTATAAATAAAGCTTTTACCAGATTAATTCAACACATATTCTTTTGTATTACGTGACACGATTGTCGTTGTTGAAGCAAATCAAGAACCTTCACCTAAAGCAGGGGTTCCCAAACTTTTCAGCCCGCGACCCCAAAAATAACAGTGCCAGAGACTGGTGACCCCCTGTCGAAGGGGGGGTGGGCGGGGGCTAGTGAATTAATTTCAGTTTTCCGCACTCTCGCGGGAATATCTCCGCAATGGAGCGGGCTTAAGTTTCAGTGCTGTCCAGCTGAGGC